CCCCCAAAACCCCAAAACCCCAAAACCCCTTTAAACAAGATCTGCTTTGATTTGGTTGATTATACATTTAATTGAATAATGTAATAATCATCTAAGAGACATTCTATTAAAATAAAACTTAAGATTAGAAAATAAAATTTATCATTCTAAATAGAAAAATACTACATAAAATGACATCGAACGAAGATTCTTTTAAACTGACCTACCTCTCTCCAGATTTAGATTCAGACTATACAGAAGCTATAAACATAATGGTCAATAATTCCAATGCCTAAGAGTCCGCACTAAACCAATATATTAAAAAATCATCAAAGTCAAGCAAGCCAAATTCTAGAGAGCAAGTAAAGATCAAAGGTCAGAGATCATAAAAAAACAACAGTTTTAGCAATAGTAAAAATGAGCATGAGCAATCTTGGGTATCATTCGGAGAACATATCCATTAAGCCTCACATGAAGATGATTTTAACGGCTAATAAAAAGATATAGTAATTGAATAGGCAGATTAATTGTCAAAAAATAGTTCCAATTACAAGGAAAATGTTCAATATGTTGTCAGAAATTCCCAAATGCTTTAATAATCCTCAATGCAGTCTTCTTTGGATTCGCAATAAAAATTTAACCACTATTTGCACACATTCAACAATGAATCTCCAATCCGTACTCCTTTGCTTGAAAACTAGAATCAACAGATGGTTTCACCAAGATCAGTGACAAAAATCAACTCATAATCTTAGAAGCATATCTTCAACTCTGATTCAAAGAATCAACTTTAAGTTTTAGCTACAGATAAAGTATTCATAGAAACAGAGGAAGATGAAAATCAAAGTATAGTGAGTGGATAGCACGATCTTGTCAATCTTAATTCTGACAAAATGACACCATTTCAGGATGCTTCCAAAGAGAATTTTACAAACTAGCCTATCAGTTGTGGCTCAAGCTCTTAGGAAGGTGAATCAGAGCCTAGACCAATTACATCACTTCCTTGCCCTGTTAATCACAATGGATTTGATCCATTATTATCTCAAAATTATACCACGAATCCAGTGCCAATCTCATTTAAAAATAGTCAAGGAATAATTTCAGTTAATAGTAGAAGACTATCTAATGCCTCTTCAAAATTGAAAAGCTCGTAAATAAATTAAAATTCTAGGTAAAGTAGTGAAGATAAAAACTTGGCAATTAAAACATAGCATAACAAGACTTAGAAGCAAAATAATTAAGTTTAACCTAGTCATTATTATAATAAGCTCTAAGACACTTATTGCACTTAAAGTTCCAAAAGAGAATCATCTGCTACTAAATAAGAAGTAACAATGTTCTAGAAGCGTAAATTATCTACTGGAGATAATAAATCATAAAATGTTTCTTCAGGACTATCTTCAGTTGATAGATAAAGCGATTTAACTCCTAGGACATTGAATTATTAGATGCATGATATAAAATAGAACAAGTAAGTTGGTGATTCTAATGGCAATCAACTTGGACAAAATAAATCAGTTATTAATTATTAGATGGCAGTAGAAACTGAAAAGCAATCAAACTAAATCCACAGAATTAAAGACACAAGCAATAAATAAAAACTCAGCTAAGCTTTCAAAGAGATGAATTTACAAGTCTTAGTTGAATTGAATAAAATAAAAAAGCCTTCTAAAATTACTCTACTTTCAGGAAAAGTTTTGGCAATGCTTTTAAACATATTTCAAGAAGAAAAGTATAGTGAAAACTCATTAAATGACTGGGTAGTTATTTAAAAAGTCTTATCGAGCAACTCGAATAAAACTATGACAGATATTGCTTTAATTAAGTCAAAATTAAATGATATAAAAGATTTAGAGTAACCTCAAAGGATAAAGGAAATTCTGAATGAAAACAAAGTTAGTATCAACCAGATAACTGATAAAAATTGCAAAATAATTTTCAATCTTGTAGCTCTAGTCATTGAATAGATAGTCACAAGGAAGGACAAGCGCGAGTAAAAATTGCAAGAAATACTTAGTAGAAAAGATATTGAAATAGAAACTATTCAAACTAACCCAGATATTAACAATACTAATCAAAATTACGCAACATTCGAGAGCCAGCAATCAAACGTTATTACTGAATCTACACCAATTAAAGAAAATTATTATTCTTCATCTCCCTTCAATTCAAATAAGTATCCTAAGGAATCACAGCAGCCAGTGTCTAATAAGAGTTCAATGCTAAAGTAGAAATAATCTCCTAAATAAATCAATATTGCCAAGAGTGTGCTAGCTTCTCCTCTTAGCACTGTCTCAATCTAAAATAAGATCTTAAAAGATGTCGAGAAAGATAACTTGAAGTTTATCTAATTCAATAAGAGAGTTTAATAATAATATTAAAGCAATTAAATCATCAGTACCAACAAGAATGTTATTGACATCTTAAATAAATCTCCATTGAGAAAGCCATTGAAACAAGACAGGTCTTTGTCAAATTCAAGAGATACTTCTATTTCTAAAAATGCTCTTAGAAACTCAGTTGACTCAAAACTTAGTGAGAAAAGATTTGATCTTAAATAGTCACTGATTAAACCAGTTATTCATTCTCTAAACTCAACAGCGAATTTAAGAGCAAGACCAACAAGTACAAGATAAGAAGTATCTGCAACAAGAGGAACTGAAATATCACTCAGATAGCAATAGCCAAAAGGTTAACTTGAAAAATAGAGATCTCCTCAAAAAACTGAGTTTGCCAAATTAGCTTAGGTAAAATCACCCGTAAAGCAAATGTCTTAAAAATAAAAGCTTGCTAAAGCACCTAATAGACCTTTAGTAAATAAGCAAGCATCAACTATTCAATAAGCTTAGGAGAGAAACTAGGCATAATTGGAGTCTGAGAGAAGCACATAAGATGAATAAACTGCAGGCACAAATTAAAGCCATATTGAAAGTGAGAAGAGAAACCCAATTATCATTAAATCGATGCCAGAAGAAAAAGAACTTCATATGACTCCTATAAAAAACAATATTTATCAGCTTATCATTGATAAAGCTCATGAAATTGAGAAAAATATGAGGAATGATAATTCTGGCAGCAAAATTGATATTGGACTCATTGAGCAAATTAAAAGAAGAAGAATTGAGCAGAAATTACAGCAGAAGGAGTAAGAGCAAGAATTTGCTACAGTGGATTGAAGTTAAATATTGATAAAAAAATGAGAGATTTCTAGAAATTTAAAGTTTTTTAGTATATTTTTATTTGTGCTTTAAATGCTTTTTATATGTTAAAGACTATTTTAAAATTCAAGTCAAACTAATATTCACGGGGTTTTGGGGTTTTGGGGAGATCGGAAGAGCGT